TCTCCTGCCTGCCCCATCCTTACCTCCTCCCTCATCATCTCCTGCCTGCCCCATCCTTACCTCCTCCCTCATCATCTCCTGCCTGCTCCATCCTTACCTCTTCCCTCATCCTCTCCTGCCTGCCCCATCCTTACCTCCTCCCTCATCCTCTCCTGCCTGCCCCATCCTTACCTCCTCCCTCATCATCTCCTGCCTGCCCCATCCTTGCCTCCTCCCTCTCCTGCCTGCCACATCCTTACCTCCTCCCTCATCCTTTCCTTCCTGCCCCATCCTTACCTCCTCCCTCATCATCTCCTGCCTGCCCCATCCTTACCTCCTCCCTCATCATCTCCTGCCTGCTCCATCCTTACCTCTTCCCTCATCCTCTCCTGCCTGCCCCCATCCTTACCTCCTCCCTCATCCTCGATATCATGAGCAGTGATCCTCTTACACCCCGATAGATATCACATCATGAGAAGTGATCCTCCTACACCCCGATATATATCACATCATGAGGAGTGATTCTCCTACACCCCGATATATATCACATCATGAGGAGTGATCCTCCTACACCCCGATATATATGACATCATGAGGAGTGATCCTTCTACACCCCGATATATATCACATCATGAGGAGTGATCCTCCTACACCCCGATATATATCACATCATGAGTAGTGATCCTACTATAGGATTAGGTTTGTAGGGTTGGGGTTGTAGGGTTACGGTAGGAATAGGATTATGGTTGTAGGGTTGGGGTTGTAGGGTTAAGGTTGTATGGTTGGGGTTGTAGGGTTAGGGTTGAAATAGGATTAGGGTTGTAGGGTTGGAGTTGTAGGGTTAGGGATGGAATAGGATTAGGGTTGTATGGTTGGAGTTGTAGGGTTAGGGTTGGAATAGGATTATGGTTGGGGTTGTAAGGTTACAATTGTAGGGTTAGGGTTGTAGGGTTGGAGTTGTAGGGTTAGGGATGGAATAGGATTAGGGTTGTAGGGTTGGGGTTGTAGGGTTAGGGATGGAATAGGATTAGGTTTGTAGGGTTGGGGTTGTAGGGTTACGGTTGTATGGTTGGGGTTGTAGGGTTAGGGTTGGAATAGGATTAGGGTTGTATGGTTGGAGTTGTAGGGTTAGGGTTGGAATAGGATTATGGTTGGGGTTGTAAGGTTACAATTGTAGGGTTAGGGTTGTAGGGTTGGAGTTGTAGGGTTAGGGATGGAATAGGATTAGGGTTGTAGGGTTGGGGTTGTAGGGTTAGGGATGGAATAGGATTAGGTTTGTAGGGTTGGGGTTGTAGGGTTACGGTTGTATGGTTGGGGTTGTAGGGTTAGGGTTGGAATAGGATTAGGGTTGTATGGTTGGCGTTGTAGGGTTAGGGATGGAATAGGATTGGCGTTGTATGGTTGGGGTTGTAGGGTTAGGGTTGGAATAGGATTAGGGTTGTATGGTTGGGGTTGTAGGGTTAGGGATGGAATAGGATTAGGGTTGTAGGGTTGGAGTTGTAGGGTTAGGGATGGAATAGGATTAGGGTTGTATAGTTGGGGTTGTAGGGTTAGGGATAGAATAGGATTAGGGTTGTATAGTTGGAGTTGTAGGGTTAGGGATGGAATAGGATTAGGGTTGTATGGTTGGGGTTATAGGGTTATGGCTGGATTAGGGTTTTTTTGTCAGTGTTGTAGGGTTAAGGATGGAATAGGATTTGGGTTTTATGGTTGGGGTTGTAGGGTTAGGGATGGAATAGTATTAGGGTTGTATGGTTGGGGTTGAACGGTTAGGGTTGGAATAGGATTAGTGTTGTATGGTTGGCGTTGTAGGGTTAGGGTTGGAATAGGATTAGGGTTGTATGGTTGGGGTTGTAGGGTTAGGGATGGAATAGAATTAGGGTTTTATGGTTGGGGTTGTAGGGTTAGGGATGGAATAGGATTAGGGTTGTATAGTTGGGGTTGTAGGGTTAGGGTTGGAATAGGATTAGGGTTGTATGGTTGGCGTTGTAGGGTTAGGGATGGAATAGGATTAGGGTTGTATAGTTGGGGTTGTAGGGTTAGGGTTGGAATAGGATTAGTGTTGTATAGTTGGAGTTGTAGGGTTAGGGATGGAATAGGATTTGGGTTGTATAGTTGGGGTTGTAGGGTTAGGGATGGAATAGGATTAGGGTTGTAGTTGTAGGGTTAGGGATGGAATAGGATTAGGGTTGTAGTTGTAGGTTTAGGGATGGAATAGGATTAGGGTTGTATGTTTCGGGTTGTAGGGTTACGAATGGAATAGGATTAGGGTTGTATAGTTGGGGTTGTAGGGTTACGAATGGAATAGGAT